GTGGTATGAGTCCGGCCCACACTCGGACCCAGGAGCGCTGCAGCTCCCGGAGAACTCGCTGCCTCTAGCTTTGTATTTCATTCTTCTACCTCATCTATGTAGGAGGGCATCATAAGGTTGTTATAAGTAAAATGAAGATTATATTGCTTTAGAATTATGAAAAAAATATTCTGTGAATCAAGTTTGCCATATTCCAGTGGTTCTCTAGTATTAGAATCCCTTTACTTATTTGAAATTTTTTGAAATCCCCAAAACATTTTGCTGGTATGGATTATAAATATAAAAGCATACCATATTAGAATTAAAATTTGATAAAATTTCAAATATTTATTACTTTCTTTACACTGTTAGAAAAATTCCTTTTACTTCATATTCTCCCAAAAATGTCTCAAGAGCTCTGTGGAGTTGGAAATCATACGTTAAGAATCACTAGTCTGGGGGCTGGGGATTTAGCTCAGCGGCAAAGTGCCTGCCTGGCAAGCGCAAGGTGGTGAGTTCGGTTCCCGGTACCAGAGAAAAACCAAAAAAAAAAAAAAAAAACAAAAAAAAACAAAGAATCACTAGTCTGAACAACATTTTAGAGCATGCTTTTGTTCCTAAACTTTTGGTATGCAGCACCCGTTTGGACATGAGGTTCATAAAAATATCAACACTCATAGACATCTCATGAGTGAAAAGCTGGGTTACTATTTATATTCTGTCTCAATCTATAAGTACTTTGGGTGTGAACAGACAGGCTCAGCTCCTATTTTGCTTATTAAGACAAATATAAAAATAAACTTCCTAACTTTTCCTGATCTCCTCTGCCTAGTACCTAAAATGTTACATTTGAGTATGCATGGTAGAAATACACAAAGCAATAAAACATAACTCATGAAAAGTGATAAAACTTTGAACAAATCAATATCAAGAGGTCATCTTTCTAGGGAACCAGAAAAAGTACCCAGCAAATGCATTTCCACCAGCCAAATTTGAGCAACAAGTTTGAACCTTAAGACTTAAAAAAAAAGTAAAATATTTAAAGCAAGGAAAGATCAGCTTGCAGCTCAACTTTTTACAGAAAAGTGTGAGACAATAGTCCTCCTACTTTGCGCTTGATGTGTTCTAGAACATTGGATTCTCCTCTTCTGAAGAATGGATGTTGAAATTCTGTAGTTGGTATCTTCTGGCCACTCTTTCCATTCTCCAATCGAATTACCTTTCGGAAACCATCTAGCAATACAGAAATGAATAAATACATGCATACATACATACATACATAACAATTGACAAACAATGGCCATTGAATAAATTCTTGGCAAGAGAGCTGAAAATTATCAGCATGTATTAACAATGCTGCAAAATATCTGGCTACCACATCATAATTGCTGGATTATAATAGGCTAATTTCAAACTTTGGAACTGATATCTCAATAACCCATTTTATTTTTTTTTTTATTTTTTTTATTTTTTAATTTTTTTTGGTTTTTCTCCGGTACCGGGAACCGAACTCACGACCTTGCGCTTGCCAGGCAGGCGCTTTGCCGCTGAGCTAAATCCCCAGCCCCAACCCATTTTATTTTGTTTATACAAAACTTACAAATGATCCGAGGGTGCTAGTGAGAAAGTATGGATAATTAAAATCTATGTATAATCAGCCAGTTTAATTTTAAACAATAGCTTCAAATTTCTGTAGCACCCACTATTATGTGGCAATATCTCAAAGATTACTGAGTGAGAGCAAAAATAACTGATTTTCGTTTCATCTTTTAGTGTTCTGCTCACCTTTTAAAAAGACTGAAAAGGAAGTCGGTATTAAAAGGAGAAGCAAAAGTCTTAGATGACAAACTAGATCGTCTGCTCCTAAAATAATCAAGAGCAGCAACAATAAAACAACACAGTTAAAAATGGGATAAAGATTTGAATAAATGTTTCTTAAAGGAGAACTGCAAATGGCCAACAAATGTATGAAAAGAATAGCATGCACCACTGTTTATCAGGGAAATGTAAAGCAAAAACGTAATATTATATCCACCTTTTCCAGTACTAATTGTGATTAACATTTACCTAATAGTTTATCTGTTTGTTGAAAAGAAAGTTTGTGCTACTGTTTGTTTCTTTTTTGTAAGAATAATACTGGTTTTTGTCTCATACTGAGTAACTACTTTAAAGATAATGATACACAGTATGATAACTATTGTTGGCTGTCTTTGTTTTTTCATAAAAAAATACAAAAATAAGGTGCTGGTGGGAATGTGGAGAAAAGGGAACTTTTAAACATGTTGATGAGTTACAGCCAGTATGGAAGTTCCTTAAAAACTAAAAATAGAACTACCATATGATCCAGAAATCCTGTTTGTGGGTATACAGTCAAAGAAATGAAATCACCATGCCAAGGAGATTCCTACACTTTCATGTTTATAGTGACACTATCCAAAATAATTAAGATATCAAATTAGGTGCCTTTCAAGAGATGAATGAATAAAGAAAATATGGCATATATACAAAATTTAATATTCAGCCACAAAGAATGAAATTCTGTTGTTGATAACAAAATGGATGGAACTGGAGGGCATTAAATTAAACGAAACAAGGCAGACACAGAAAGAAATACCTTATGTTCTCTCTCATATATGTAAGCTGAAAAAGGTGTATCTGAATGTAGAAGAGTTATTATTAGAGATTAGAAAGTGTGTGTTGGAGAGGAAAGACTGGACAAAAGGAAGTTAAATGGTGGGCACCAAGACACCATTAAATAGAAGAAATAAGCTCCAGTGTTGCACAGCTCAGTGGAATAGCTATAGCTCCAAATAACCTAGTACGTTTTGTGAAGATATATAGAAAGGCAGCGATCAAAGACTCCAAATATAAAGCAATGGTAAGGACAGGAAAATGCTAATTGCCCTGATTTGAGCAGTGTAAGCTGTATACATGTGTTAACGTATGCCACTGGGTTATAGTAGTGCATGCCTATAGTCCCAGTTACTCCAGAAGCTGAGGCAGGAGGACTGCGTGAGACTAGGAGTGTAAGGCCAGTCTGGGCAGTACGGCAAGACCATGTCTTAAAAAATACTTATATGTCACATTGAACTCCATTAATATGTACAATTAATGTATACTAACCAAAAATAAAACAAAATCTAAAAAGATCACGTGTTAATTTTTTCAGAAAGGAAATGGAGGGATTGTGTATTATGTGTTTCTGCTTTTGTGTTTTCTTTTTTTTTTTTTTTTAGTAATAGGATCAAATTTAAGGCTTTTGAGCATGCTAGGTAAGCACCCTACCACTAAACTACAATCCCTCATCCACAGCTTTTGTGTGTGTGTGTGTGTTTGAGATAAGGTCTTGCTAATTTGCCCAAACGGGCCTGAAACTTGCAATTGGCTTGCTTCAGTCTGCTGAGTAGCTGGGATTACACTGCACCCAGCTTTTATGTATTTATAATATAATAAAAAGTTACAACTACATAACTGATTCAAGAGGTAGAGCAGGAACCAGTAATTTACAATATTCTAAAGACCAGAATTGGAGAATAAAAATGGTGGGGTAGAGACCAGCAGCAAAATACAGAAAAAGACAAGGCAACAGAAATAGTCAAAAAACTCCCAACTCCCCCAAAACTGATCCATGATGCACTGATGGGGAATAAATAAAAAATCACATAAGTGAATTATACAAAATGATAAAAAGAGGTTACAAAAATCCCCACCGGATCAGTAAGTTGCTCAGTTAGCTAAAAAAAGGACAGAACCAAGCAGATAATGGACTAGATAAAGGAAATGTTTGTTGAGTTTACAGAACACTAATGAAAAACTAGCTGAGCTAAATAAAATTATACAAAACATGAATTAACAGCTTAGTAAAGGATTAAGGTCCATGTAAATATAACAAACAGAAATCCAGAATAAAAATTCTATTGAAAGTATGGGCAACAGAAGTGACTAATGTGTGAGGATAGAGTGTCAGAACTAGAACACAGGGCTGATATAAGTGATCATATAATCAGAGACATCTTTTTAATTTTTTATCTTAAAGAGAAAAAACACTAAAAACAATAATACAAAATTTCAAACCAGGGCTGGGGATTTAGCTCAGCGGCAAAAGCGCCTGCCTGGCAAGCACAAGGTCGTGAGTTCGGTTCCCGGTACTGGAGAAAAACCAAAAAAAAAAAAAAAAAAAAAAAAAAATTCAAACCAAGATAGGAGAGTAACAATGGTTAGTACATTGCTTATTGTTATCTTCAAAGCACTTGCTCTGATTACAGGATATAGGCATGAAAAATTGATCAAATGGTACAAACACAAACCTTTCTTTTCAATGAACTAATAGAAGTTAGTAGTATAGCCATTGTAACTATCTTGTATATATACATATATGTAAATACAATATGAATATGTATGTATATATTTATATTTACCTTTTCCTTTTTTCTTACTTCTTTTCTCCTTTCCCCCATTCCAGTTTCTCTTTTCTTTTGAACAGTTTCTTCCCATTTCCCAATGTCTATTGTACATTTTGGCTCTTATTTACTCTTTCAAATTCGTACACCAGGGAGATAATATGATGTTTACACATGCGAGACTGATTTATTTCACTTATATGTGTGTTCTCAAGTTGCATCCATTTATCTATAAAAGTCTCAAGTTTATCCTTCTTTATAACTGAGTGATACTCCATTGTATAAAAATACCACATTTTTTTTTATCCATTCTTTGGTTGAAAAAGTCTTTTTCGGGGGAGGGGTACCAGGAATCAAACTCAGTACCTTGTGCTTGCCAGGCAGGCACTGTGCCACTCAGCTATATCGTTGACCATAAGACATTTTAAAAACAACATGTGAACATGAAAAATAGATTAAACAGTTAATAGATGACACAAAGAAAACCAATCTAAGATTAATTGAAATTAGTAAAAAATCAAAAGGTAGCACAACTGGCATAAAAATCCTTTTTACAGAAATAATAACAGAAAAATTTTCCAGGTGTGGGAAAAGGATGTAATATGCAGTTAAGTGAGGCATATAATAGAACCTCAAATAGCTCAAGCAGAAAATATTTCTCCATGACACATCATAGGCAAAATTTCAGAAGTCCACCACAATCTTAAAAGCTGTTAGAGAAAAGCAAAAATTCACCTACATAGATAAACCCTATCGGATTACATCAGACTTCTCAAAACACACCTTAAAGCCCAGAAGAGCTTGCAATGAAGTGCTCTAAGTCCTAAAGAAAAACAACGTTTGACCCAGACTGTTATATCCTGGAAAATTGTCTTTCAGTATTGATGAAGATCTTTCCATGACAAAGAGCACACATAACCATAAAACCAGAATTCAAAAATATTCTCAAAAATATCTTAGAAAGAAGCTTTCATGCCTATTCATGATATCCCACCCTCACACTGTAGGGTGTACTTCTTTCCCTAATTTTGTTTGACCCAAACTCTGCACAGTCTGTTGTCTTCCCTACCTTTATTAAAACTTTGCTATCATTAAAAAAGTGTCTTTCAAAGAGACAATGGAAACAACAACGTGAAAAAGTCTAATAGAATGAATACAAGAGGCAGAGTGGACAGTCAAGCAAGGAGAAGGGGACAAAAGAATCAGCAATAGGAAAATAATGGAGTGACAGGAATGAGTCAATATCTTTCAGTAATAATTCTCAAAGTGAATACTCTCAATTCCTCAATATAAAGATACAGATAGGCAGAATAGATCAAAAACCAAAACTCAACAATATGCTGTATAGAAGAAACATATTTAATCCAAAAACAAATTCATAGACTAAAAATCAAAGGATGAAAAATAATGTATTCTTGCAATGGGTACCATAAACCAAGCAAGGTACCTATAACATTTTCAGACAAAGTGAACTTCAAGCAAAAACTGATCTGAAGTAGCAAAGAAGGTCATTATTAGGGGAACAATTCAACAGGAAGAGGTAACAGTTATTAGCATATATACAATGAACACCAGTGTACCCAACATCATAAAACAAATAGTACTTCATCTTAAAGATCAGATAAACATCAACACAGTGTGGAAGACCTCATATCTCACTGTTACAAATAGGCAGACAAACTAAAGAAAACAATCAACAAAGAAGTATCAGAGTTGAACCACACATTGGAACAAATGGTCGTAATAGCTATATAGAGAGTGTTTCACTCAACAGAACAGAATACAAATTCTTCTCAGCAGTACACGGAAAATTCCCCAAAATAGACCACATAA